GTGATGTGGTACAATGCATATGGAAGTATAAGTGGGAATGGAGGAAGCTCAGTTAGTGTCTTTGCTCCACTCTGATAAGGAGCATTTTTTTGGAAATCAGGTATTCACTTCCTATTGTCAGTGAGTTGATTCTGACTCTTAGTGGTACTATAGGCCAAAGTAGAACTGCCCCATTGGGTTTCCAATACTGTAATCTTTTTAGAATCAAACTGCCACAGCTTTTACCCACACAGACCAGTGGATTACAAACCATTTAACCACTTGACCGCCAAGCTTCATTCTGTTGTACTTAGGCTCACTATAAGTCAGAACCAAGTAAACAGCACCTAATCACAATTGTTTACTGCATGTCATTTTTACAATAATAGCTACCATTTACTTTAGAATTAGAAAAACATTTATTTATAGACAGAAGGAACTACTCATAATTATATTTTTAATAAAGGTCATTATGAATATTTAAACTCAAAAGATTTTAATAGCAATCCTGAATAATGCTAAATTGCTAGATATATCTTGTACATGTTTTCATTTCATCCTCTACAATGATCAGCAGTCATTTTTTAGCAGCCATCAATCAATCTGTTTCTAGGAAACCTAATGTACTATTTCTAATCTGCTGCTCATGTTAGCCTAAAGCAAAATTCAGTGTTGCCAGGGGAAGTACGCTGTTTTTAGAATAACCTTTTCACACTGTTTTTAAGAAATATATCAATGTGTTCAAATCATGGGGACAATTCAATTTTATTTACGGAGTAAAATGGCATTAATATGATCAATATTTCTCTTACTCACTGAATTTTTTGCCAGCCTCCTTTCATATGACTCACCATTCAGTGACTCCAAATCACTCATTAATTCACTCCCTCATTCACCCATATCTTCATTTATACAAAAATTAAAAAATTATTGGAAGCTCTTGCAAATGTCATAACATTTCATGGCTCAATCACATCAAGCAGTATTGTACCATTGCTGCCACAATCCATTTCAAAACACTTTCTTTCTTCTTGCACTCCTTAAAATTAGCTCCCCGTTCTTCCCTCCCTTCCCTCCTCTCCAAATAACCCTTACGTATGTATGTATTTTTGCCCTCTCAGCTCCCCAGCCCACCCTGTGCCCACACCCTCAGAGCTTTCATTCTGATGTTTGGGGTTGGAAAGGGATACAAGGGTGGGCAGATTGATCACCATGCTGCCATCCACTAAGGATGTCCTCAGAAGCTGACTCAACTCAGTATCAACAGCCAGGAGAAGTCAAGAGCTCTGCTCTGAATCTCTAGCCTGCTCCCGATCCCTAGCCTGCTGCAGATTTCTGGCCTGCTCAAGGGTCTCTGGCCTGCTTCAGATCTGTCCTGCTTCTGTCCAACCATTATTGATTTCAGCTCTGTGCTGGGTAGTAATGGTGGTAAGAAAATGAATAAAACAGAGTACAAGCCCTCAACAAACAGTTATCTTGTAGAGAAACACAACAAACAAACATAATGGCCACTCACCCTGATGGGTATATACAAGTACTAAAGAGTATGTAATGTCAAAATAAATATATGCAATTTTTAGAAAGTAACATGTTCTTTCTTTCATTATTTGCACATTTTGTTTTTATTTTCCTTTGCTTAAATTATTTTTCGGCTACTAATATTCTGTAAAACATTTATCCGTCTTTCAAGTTCAAAATCCACCACCATCCACCTTTTTAGCTTTCCTGACATTATTATCCAATCAATACCTAGTAATGTACGAAGAATTCAAATGTAGATTAGGTCCGATTCCTACAACAAAGAAGATAATTGTCCAGTTACTGTCCAAAACCATCAAGTCCACTCGGACTCAGAATAACTCTGTAGGACATTGTAGAGCCGTAGGGTTTCAGAGCTGTAATATTTTTTTCATATCTCTTTTATTAGTTCCTAAGTATTTTATTCTTTTGATGCTGTTATAAATACAATTGTCTTTTTCAGATTTTTTTATACATAAAAATATGGTCCCCAGATTACAAACGAGGTTCATTCCTAAATCTGTCTGCAATTCAAAATTGAACAGTACAGTTTATTTCTAACACCAGATAGTGAAATGTTTGTAAGTATACAGTGTACCTTTTTGTTTGTCAACAATATTACAGCAACCGTTCCAGACATCCTAAAATATCTCTAACATAACACAATAGGCCCTTGGTATCAGTGAGGGATTGATTTCAGGATCAACCATTCCTCCTCAATCCAGAAATACACAGAAATGCAAGAGTCCCTGATGCAGAACAGTGCATGTCAAAAAGGTTGCTTTTTTAGCTCATACATGCACGGGCTTTTCCCAAACAAAATGTGGTCAAACATGTCTCTGTGATTAGTGGGTGGCTGCAGACAAGTTCTCCAAAGAAGGAAAAAGGGCACCCCACCCCAAACACAGCTTCTGAGGAATGGTTGGATCAGTTACATTCAAGGCAGAAAGGTAAAGGCAGAGAGATCAGCTGAGGTGAATGGTGATTGTTTTAGGGGCTTCCCAAAACGGGTCATTTTGATAAGATCCCTCCCTGTCCAAGGACATGGGATGATCCTGGGGCTTATACCACAGAAGTTTCAAGAAAATCGAAAACTTCAGTGGTAAGAAAAAGGCCAGGGCGGGTGTGCTGAGGAATTGTTCTTCTACCATGATAACGGGTAGAAAGGGCTCCTTAAGAATGTCATGGGGGCTCCTTTCCCAGCTGCTCCTTGGTTGGGGTGCGTTTTTTTTCTGGCCTGTTTTTCATGTGTGGATGTGAAGTGCTCTGAGGGTACCTGTGTAACACCTGAACGTCTTCTATCATTTGTCAAAGCTCACTTGGATCACACACACACACACACACACACACACACACACACACACACAGGATTACCCGTAGAGCCCCCATCCCCTCCGTCCTATCACCCTGATCTTGTTCCTTGCAACTTTTTTTGTCCTTAAAACTCAAAGGACATTTCAGAGTCCTCAAAGATGCCCACACCGCCTTTTTGACACGTGTCAATCAGAGTGCGGAATTCTTCGGGGCAGAGAGGCGAAGAACAGGTTATGGTACCTCTCCACTTTCCGAAATCCCCGATTCAACCTCCTCTGGCAAACCAAGGCCATGCTTTCACAGACCAGGCGGAGCTGGCTAATTTCGTCATCGGACATAAAGCTGAGGATGTTCTTGCTGGCTACGATGGGCAGCGCCACCAGGGTGTTGTTTTGAGGCAGCTGGTCCGGGGCAAACGCTGGGCTGGGGGCTCCAGGGAGCCCCCCGGTGAGGGCTGGGCCGGGGCTGGTGGGGGCTGTTGCCTTGGCCTCCACCTCTGTCCTCAGCCATCTGTTCCTCCACCCCCGCCAAAGCTGTCATCTTTATGGAAGCAAGCTTACGGAAGCCACATCTTCTTCCTGCAGAGAGTAGCTAGTGTTCTAACCTACTATCTTTCAATTCTGAGCCTAGCTACACTGTGGTTATCATTATACCATCTCTGTGCCAAACTCCTCCCCAAATAATATTCCTCCTATTTGGTATAGTAATATTATATACGACTGTTAAGTATTGTCCAAACGTTAAATTAAAGTTAGGCACTTCTTTCGTTATCCTCTTTCTGTGTTACTGTTTTCTTTATTTCATTTCTTTATTGATCTTCTTTATCTCATATTAATTGAATACCTGCTAAAAACTGGGCACTACTATTCACAGAATATTGGGTAGTAGAAAGCAGCATTCTCATTTTGTGTATAAACTAACTTGACATAGTACAATTTAGTGATGTCCCAAAGTCACACAAGTGGCAGGCAGTAGATCTGATGTTCAAAATAAGGTCTTTTTGCTTCAAAAGTCTACATGTGTAACCAGACTGCTTAACACACAGCTCATCCTATCATAGCCTGAGAAGTTCAACATATCCAAATCTAATTATTACCAACCCAACAAACTGAGAATTAGTCAGACTTAAAACATATGAAGTACTTGAGAACCTACAATGATGCTTTATTCATTCATCCAATGAATATTTACTGATCTCTAGAATAATCTGCATCATTTATTTGCTATAGGACACTGATGAAGTCACTTAATCTCTCTAATTCTTTATTTCTTTTACATAAAATGAAGATAGTAATGTTAGTCTCACTAACACCCCACTCCCGCCATAGGGTTGTTTAGTTAATAAAGGTAAATAACACAAAAACATTCTGTGATTTACCTTATAATGTATTATAGATAATAATATACTGGATATGACAAAATAAACAATTTATAAATTATCAAGGGTTCATGAGGGAAGGGGGAGCGGGGAGGGAAGGGGGAGCGGGGAGGGAGGGAGAAAAAATGAGGACCTGATGCCGGGGGCTTAAGTGGAGAGCAAATGTTTTGAGAATGACGAGGGCATTGAATCTACAAATGTGCTTTACACAATTGATGTATGTATGGATTGTAATAAGAGTCATATGAGCCCCTAATAAAACGATTTTTTAAAAAAGAAATCAAATGAGGGGTGGGAGGGGGGGAATGAGGAGCTGATCACAAGGGCTTAAATAGAAACTAAATGTTTATAAAATAGTGATGGAAACATATATACAAATATGCTTGATACAATTGATGTACTGTATGGGTTGTTATATAAGAGCTGTAAGAGCCCCCAATAAAATGATTGTCAAAAAACAACAATGACAAATAAAAAACAACAAAAAAAGAATTCATATTTTTTTTTGAATTCATATTTTTTTTAAAAAAGAATTCCTACTTCTTGCCCACCTATCTCATGGTTGAGAAGGATGCTAAAATCAACATTTTAATTACCAGTGGCCTCTATGTAGTAAACTACATTTCTGTGTCTATTAAGTGAAATTTCCTTGATTGTGATCATATTGTTGGACATTCTTGTCTTAAAGGATAACCTAATGACAGAATGCACTCCTTGATATTAATTCTGCCTCAAACCATATAGGTTTTAGTTATGGGAAGACATTCAAATCTCAATTTCATTCTTGTGAAACTTTCTTTCTCATTTACAGGTCAGAGCTATTTGTGGGAAGCATGGGATATATTTGACTTTGAGTCTTCTGGAAACATTGCTTAACTATCAAGATTTGGGTTACCAAAATGAAATAAAGTAAGTTGAGTTTTTGTGCACATAGTCTATTAAGGTACCATACATAGAGCTGTGGCTTTAGGAGAATGATAGAAGTTTGATACAGGAATCAATCAACACCAACACTTTGAAGATGGAGTTAAATCTTGATTATCTTCAGGCCATAGAGAAAGAGCACACAAAAATGTTTACTTTTCAACCATTATGAATGATTCATAACCAGCTTTACCTTCTCACCTTAAACAAAGAAAATGGACAAATATGTTAAACAATTGGGTATCAGACATCACATAACAGTGATACATGAGAACAGGTAACCAGATGAAGTGAGTTCTACAGTTTTCCCAATTGTCAGCCCAGTAAGAAGACACCTGCACAGAGACCCGAGTTAACGGACTCGAGAGTACAGTTCAGGGAGACGAGGGGAACCTGTATCCACAGTAGCAGAGAAGAGAGAGGCAGCTCTGGACAGCTGCAGAGTTGTCGTCAAGTTTTGTGCTAGGGTTTGGGTTTGGTTTTGCCTTTAAGTGAACTACCCAAACCCTTCCCTTAAACCTATTCTCGTTTTGCTTTATTCCACATACTGATCAACTTCTAAGGTACTTCTAATCTATGGGTATATTATGTTTACTGCTACTGTCTGCCATGGTCTGGTAGATCAGAAAAACTAATAGATCATATAAACTAATTCCATGACAAGTAGGTGTCAGGGTCTTTATTCACTGATACACTCCATGTACCTATAGCAGTGCCTAATGCATTGTAGATGCTCAATAATATTATGGAACTTACATTAATTAGGGAGTTGAGTATCAAAATATTCTCACAATTGCATTCTTCATAGACCCCACCACAAGAATTCAATTCGGAAAATCCACTAAATATCCAAGTCTTTACTTTAAACACACCTGTTGCAGATTAAGGAAACTAAAATACTTCTTTGGACTTAAGGCTGAAATGCTCTCATATGAGAAGCAGATGCTGCTCTCCTAAGCTTGTGGATTTGGGAGTCATTGGATTTTGATTCATATCTCTTCCTTTTCAGGTTACACAATAGTTGGCAACTTACTACTACCATATATTGCCATTTTCAAATTATCTTTGCTTTTTATGATGTACATATCAGTCTTGCAGAGATATTTGGCCATATGAAAGAGCATTAGTGTAAGTTTTGCCTTGTGTCCAACTCTCATTGTTTCCTTAAAAAATATTCAGTCACATAAAATTTTACATAGCATAAATGAATGTTCCATGTATTTTTGTCTACAAACCTTCCTATATGTGTGTATTTTTTTTTCTCAGTAGCTCACTGCCATCGAGGCAATGCAGATGCATAGGGACCCTCGAGGACAGGGTAGAATTGCCCCTGTGTGCTTCAAACTGCTGACCTTGTTGTTAGCAGTGCAACACGTAATCACTAAGCCACCAGGCCTCCTTTTTTAAAATGGCCTTTAAATTTTATACCATTTGCTTCATTAATGATATTATTATTAAAATTATCAAATGTCCTAGGAAGATTATTTTTATTATCTCTCAAGAAACTGATTTTGCTGGTTCTGAAATGAACCAGGAAAAAATATATATATACACACACATATACATCACAGATATACCAATAGATTCTGAGTTTGCACTCAATTGAAAGCCTTAATCTAAGAACAATTCATGTTTCTGGTGTGGTCCTGCTCGATACTTGTCCTCATGAAGTGATCACTGAATATATTGGTTCTATAGTGCTTATACATTGGGTTGTTAACATCAAGTTCAAGAGTCTGAAATCACTAGCTGCTCCTTAGGAGAAAGACAGGCTTTCTACTCCTGGACAGAGAAAGTTCTACCCTGCCTTTAAAAATCACTATGAGTCAAAATTGATTTGGTAACAGTGAGTTTGGGTTTTTCTGTTTGCTGTTTGTTTATAGAAAAATGTGGTGAAGAAATCAGATGGTTCCCGGCTATCAGAAATAATAGCATGTGGGGTCTTAAAAGCTTGCCCTATAATAAGCAGCCTTCTAAGTTGTCAGCTAGGTCTGCATGAAAGAAGCACAAGTACTAGCGTGATCAAAGGATTATTAATAATAAAATTCATTATCAGAAGAGGGGGACTTTATTAGAATTTAAAATGCAGGTTACAGAAGGCGATGGTGACAGTGAAAGGCCAAAATCCACAGGCGGATGCCACATATGGATTGTTTATATGGTATTCCCTTGGTCCACTAACCAGAGATATAATAGCCCTGCCCTCACACAATGCACTGGAAAGTGGATTACTACAGATATAATAAGGTTAAAGTTTTCTACATATATTTTAAAGTTATACTTTTATTTTATATAAATTTACATATGGTATAAATATAAAGATATATATTACATATAAAGAAATATTTTTCAGTAAATGAAACCTAGGACTTATGTTCATATAGGGATAGCAAGTAGAAGAAGAATGTCAGGCCGGGGCTGAGGTGAGTGCAGGAGAGGGGGCGGCGGGGGGGAAAAGGAAGATAATGTTAAAGGACCCAAAAAGAAATCGTATTCTTGGAAACTGATTATGGAAGTATGGTACAGTTCTGCTTGACATGACTGAATGATGCAATGATATGACATTTGTGTTAATGCCCAAGTAATAGATGATAGATAGATAGATAGATAGATAGATAGATAGATAGATAGATAGATAGATAGATAGATAGATAGATAAAAT